TCTGACCACATCTACTTGCTGCTACTTACTACCTGAGGCAAGCCACCATCACCTCTCACCTGGACAACTGCAACTGCTTCGTGACTGGTCTTCCCACTTCCACTCTTGTTCTCCTACAGTTTAGAGCAGCCAGATGATCATTTAAAAGTGTAAATCAGATTGTGTCACCTCTCTAGCCAATATCCTCCAGTGGCTTCCCATCACCATTGAAGTAAAACCTAAAGTCCTCATGTGATCTATGAGGCCCTACATGATCTAGTGTCCTGCCACCTCTCTGACCTCATCTACATGTCACCCTGGTCCTATTGCCCTGGCCTCCTTGCTGGTCCTCCAACACAACAAACATGGTCCTGCCTTAGCAGCTATGAACTTGCTTAGAAGACTTTTCCGCCAGATATATGTATAATTTTCTTCCCTACTTCATTCAGGTCTGTATTCCGATATCACTCTCAGAGAAGCCTTCAAATTATCTCATCTAAGACCAACTCCCACCTTCACTGCCACCCTCACAATCCATCATCCTCTCTCCCCTTAGACTGCCTTCCCCCCCATAGCACAAATCACCATCTGACTTGTTATACATTTGTTGATTGCTTATAGAATGTAAGCTCCATGAAGGCAAGTCTCTGCTTTCTTACTGCTGTATCCCTAGCACCCAAGAGGTGCTCAGTAAGTGAACGAAGTGAAATTAAAGAAGAGATCTGAGTTCCATGACAGAGAACAGCTTATGCTGGGAACCCTGCACTAGGTGGTTTAGGGGATGCCAACTGTCAGAGCCAGAGATGACCTTAGGAATGGAAGAGATCCTTGGGAATTCACAGAAACTCGGGGGGTAAATACCAGACTTTTTGAAACACGTAGAATGGAGAAGATGGTGTAATCCAGCTGACACCTGAATTGCACACATGACCTTAGGAATGGAAGAGATCCTTGGGAATTCACAGAAACTCGGGGGGTAAATACCAGATTTTTTGAAACACGTAGAATGGAGAAGATGGTGTAATCCAGCTGACACCTGAATTGCACACATAGTCTTATTTCGTCTTAATATCACAACAGATGAGGAAACTGAAGATCAGAAAGTTAAAGTGACTTGTCCAAGATTATTCAGCTATGTAGCAGAGCAGCAACCTGAAATCAGTACTTTCTAACTCTAGAAACCATATTCTTTCCAAGACACTGCATAACTTAAGAGAAAGCTTGGCATACTAAGAGAAAGCTTGACAAAGAGTATGCGCTCAGTTAAGTAACAGTTAAAGGAATGAACAAATGTTTCATAAAGTGACAACTAATTTGGTGTTTTGAGATTAGACAACCTTATTGAGAGACCAAAGGCAGACCAGGAGAAAGAAGCTTAAACAAAAAGTTTTAGGATAAGACAGTTAAAGTAAGGAGCTGTCCAGGGAACACTGAGTACGTTAGTTTGGCTGGAGCTTAGGGGGCTGGAGGATATTGGGAGATAGGTCTGCAAGGGCCAGAATGTGGTTAAGGAATTTGGGCTTTATCATGAGACAAAGGGGAGCATTAAGGCAAATGTGGTCAGAAGGCCACATTTGGTCAGAAGTGTTTTAGGAAGGCCATTTGTGATGCCAGGGACAAGGTTACCAGACGGATTTGCTGTATTAGTCCCAGCCAAGGGTTACCTCCGGTGCAATCTCTTTGAACCCCTGAGGTTGAAACCGGCCCTGACCTAAATGTTCACACAACAGCCACTAGTTGGCAGCAGTGTGCCGGTGAATGGATGAGCCCAGGAGCCCAACTAGCAGCTTCCCCCAGTCTCTCACTCCTTGGGCTGTGATGGGGTATGACTACCTGGCGAAAAAAAAAAAAAAAAAAAAAAAAAAAGAAACAATAATAGAATGAGAAAGGGGTCATTTTAAAGTGTAGTTTTGACAAGAGATAATGAATATTCTGCTCCGCCAGCAGTTGCCTCTCCAGTCTGGTGGAAGGACAGTCAATTCTTGCACTTTGATGGAGGAAACAGCAAGACGCCATGGCGTCTAGCAGGGGAGCCTGGTCCAGGATTCCAGGGAGAGGATTTTTTTTTTTTTTTTTTGGTGGCTGGCTGGTACAGGGATCGAATCCTGGACCTTAGTGTTTGGGAGCGGAGATTTTGAGCATAAGATTTCAGATAAAGTATCTCACAAAACTGTGAATTTAACTAAGCACTGGTGGGAGCAGTAGGGGCCTGGGGAGCACCTCCGTCTCCTATTTACCCCTTTTCGTCAAAAACCATAGAGCTCACCTTATGCGCAATAGGCATCCAGATGAGCTACCTTAAGGACGCCTGGAGATGGACAAGTCACCGACTCTCCCTCCCGGAGTGAACTGCACCTCCCAGAAGGCGGGCGTTTGCCTAATATCTAGTAGCGGGCGCCTGGCAGCGCCGCGGCTCTGATAGGTGTTTACATAGCTTAGCCCCGCCTCCCGACGAAAGGACGCCGAAACGCGCCGGTGCTCCACGGTTATTCCGGGCTTGGGCGCCGCTGTGAGTCCTGGGGACGATGGGCGGTCACCCTCCGCAGTGGCCGGTCGGACCCTGGCTCCAAACCTTCTACGTTCGGGGTGGATTGCGGCCCCTAGAGAAAGAGTCAGGGGACCGGAAGCTGTACCCGCCGGGACGTTCTGGGCCACCGCTGGGGGCGGGCCGGCTCCCTGCGCCTGCGCGACACTTCAATTGGGGGCGATGGCGGCACTCTGAGACGTGGACGCAGACTCACCTCTGGAGGGAGCTGCGTCTGGGTTCTCCGGCCTTGTGAGACCCGGGCCTGGACCCCCGGGGCGGGGCGGGGTCGGGGCGCTGCCTGGCCCAGCTGGCCTTCGGGGCCCTCTGCGCGCCGTCTGCTTTGCCATCCATACGTTCCGGCGCTGGCGCGCTGCGCTCCCCATCTCCTCCCCACCGCGGCTGTTTCCTTTCCCGTCCAGTGGGGACAGCCACTAAGTAGCGCCGTAGGCTTAGGAGCCCCGAGTGCACCCCTGGCAGCCTGGGTCCCTGACTCTCCCCTCCTCGCACCGTCCCTCCGGCCCCCACCCCTTCACCTCGTCCGTGAAGCTTGCTAACTCCTTTCAACAGAAGCCTTTTGGGAACACATTATAATGCTTCCTCTCACCTGGCACCAGGCTCAGGCAGGGGACATCCCATCTCAACCTCGTTCCTCATCTGTGAGATGTCTTTGTATCTAATGATAATACACATAGACACTTCCATTTACTTAGTACCTGTTTTCCGTTCTCACCCACTCCTTAAAACCCCTCTTCCTGCGAGATTGTAAAAGCCGTGCCTGTGTGCAGTTATGAAGGCAAATTTCCCCCAGATTTTTGTCATCCGAGCCTCTAGAGACAAATATCCTTGGTGCTTTATTTCATCAGTTATTTTCTAGTGCCTGCTGTGTGCCATGCGCTGTATTGAATACTGCTGAGGACCCGGATGAGCCAAATCTGTTCGCCATGAAATTCAGACTAGCGGTAGAAATTTGGACTTGTGATAAAGAGTAGAAGAGTACAGCGCCACCGGAAAGGAGCAGAGGAAGTGCTCTTGAAATTCAGGGGCGAAGGAGGAGGGTCAGAAGTCTTTAGAGGAGGCAGTAGCATATAAACTGGAACCAGGGGGCAATTCCAAATGAAATGGATACAAGGCAGCGTGATAGCTCACGGGGCCCATACAAAGAACATGGTTCCTTTCGGGGGTCCGGGTTGGGGTAGGGGCTGTATAGTTTGTTAAAAGCAGAGGTTTTAGCATATTTGCTGTGAGACATCAGGCATATAACTTCTTCAAGCCTGTCAAGTGAAGATAAGACCTACTTCACATTCGAGGTCATTCATATCAAGGTTGGCACACTCATAGCTATCATTTTTTTTAACTATCAAATATTATGTCATGGAAATGCCTTGAATGCCAAGAATTCAGATTTTCTCTGGCTTATAGGGATCATACAGATTTTTGAGCAATAGAGGGCATTAATCAGAGGTTCTTAGAAGGGACTGGATCCTAAGTCAAAAAGTCTAAAGCCACTGCAGCGGTTGCAACTCCACTTCCTTCTCTCTCATGCCCATCCAAACCTCCCTACCCTCAATCCACAAGCATTTGAAAACCATGTATGTAACAACCAGCCATTTATATCTGTCTAGCTAAGTTACAGAAGGAGTGAGGTGGTATATTTACAAGTTGATTTCTCCAGATATACTATAACTTAGTGTCTGTATTTAATATTGACAACCAAAAAAAAATATATAAATATCTTCCATCTATACACAGCAGGGCAGGAGTATCCATGTCTTCTTGAGCAGTGAGTTCTTAGCCTCCCATGGGCCCTCCTCTCACGGTGATCGTCTGGCTCTCAGTGCAAAGGAGACTAGAACTTGGCGGCCCGTCTGGCCCTTCTCTCCTCCCTGCACTCCAGTGCTCCCAACTGGTCTCAGGCAAGGAAAGATTAATTTGAGTGGTTGGGTAGGAAAAGATGGGAAAGGCTGAATCCTAATGCAGGCCAACCCCTAGGGCAAGGATGCGAAGTATGCATAAAGCAAATGTAATTCACAGGGCCTGGTTTTCCAAAGCCTTGCAGTTTCAAATATTGACCTTGCAAAGGACAGGAAATTTTCCCCAGGATACAGTCTCTGTTGTAAGATAAAGAATTGTAACACAGCAAGGTTGCTGGCTCAAAGACAAAGGTTACTGATTAATATGTAAAGATACTAGGAAGTTGCTGTAAGAAAATGTTTGCTAAAATCAAGCTTTTGTTAGTGGATCGACTTAATTGCATTATAGAATGTTACCTTGCTTTTCTTACTGAATGTTACCAGCTTCTATTGTTAAACTTGTTAAGTTGTACTTAGCAAAAACCCCACCTATGTTCTCTTCCTGGAACTTCCTGGTCTGGAAAATAAATGTGGGAAGAGAACCCCAATTTGTGGTTAATTTCCCAAATGGAAGGAATGCCTCACTGTTGAGGGTTCTGGGAGATTAACCCCTTTTTGGGGCTTCTCACTGCTCAGAAGAGATGGGCTTTGAGTAATCTTTGGCGGCTCCGTCACCCAGGGGAAAAGGGGTGACAAATCCGTGGGAGGCAAAGCAACACAGGGAGATCCAGGCCTGCAGAAGGGGGTGGCCACAGCCACCTCCTGGGGTAGAAGCCTCGTAGTTCGTAGTTCAATTAGTGTGTCCTTGGTCATAGGTCCAGCCTTTCAGATTAGCTGGCAAAGAAGGCAAGTGTCTGGACAGGGCTTGATCCCCACTCTTAGGCACTGAGCCATTGGGGTGAAGCTTGGGGTATGAGTACAGGAGACTCTGGCTGATAAAAAAATAATAACAAAATCAGTAATAAAAAAAATTATAAAACCTGTTGCTTGTCTGAATAGATTTGAGCAACAGTCTTGCTTTTGTTAAAATCTTGGAGCCATTATAAGTCCTGAATATTCTTCTAGACATCATTGCTGGCTGAAGAAAGGAGCCCAAGCCCGGCTCAGCTGAGATATGTCAGTTTGGAAGTGTCATGCAGCTGCCTGTGCTCCCAAGATACCCTTGGGGCTGCTGGAAGCAGGCCGGGCTGGTGGTGTGGGGCGCCTCACACTTGGGAATCAGCCCCCAGTGGGTTGAACAGCTCATCGGGTGTCTTGTCACTTTGACTGGCTCCCCCCTGCCGGAAGCCAGAAGCAATTTCATCGAAGGTCCGGCCTTTAGTCTCGGGAACTTTAAAGTAGGTGAAGATGAAGAACAGAACCAGGAGCACAGTGAAGATGATGAAGACGTAGGGACCACACAGTTGCTGAAAGACAGACAGATACACTTGGTTGGAGTCATGACCCTACATCCTGGCTGGAGGACTTTGGATAAGCCACTTTATCTCTGTGCCTTTGATCTGGAAAAGGGAATACCCACCTACCACCGAGGGATGCTATAATGATTAAATGAGACTGTGTTTGCATCTGGCACATAACAGGCTCCAAGAGCACCATTCAAAGCTAGGCAAAAAACCCTGGAGTTGAGGTCAATGTTCTCAGCCAGGTGACCTGGGTTTCCGAAACCCAATTTCCTCCTCAGCATGATTCCTAAAGAGAATGCTGAGAGAGCACTTTGCACAGCACTATGGGGTCATGCATGCAAACCAGAAATAGTGAGTATAGCAAAAATGGGGTTCTTACCTCCACATACTGGAAGCACATGCCCACTATGAAATTTGAGGTCCAGTTAGAGAAGCCAGCAACAGCAGTGGCAGCTGGGCGAGGACCCTGGCTGAAGAGTTCAGCCACGATGAACCATGGGATGGGGCCAGGGCCCACTTCAAAAAAGGCCACAAAGCCAAATATGGCCACAATGCTCAGATAGGACATCCAAGGCAGCTGCTCCTGTTGAGGGTGACACAGACAGGAAAGGTTAGACTCAGTTGTGATGGATCCTCAGAGGAAACTGACTGAAGCTGCAGAGGCAGTCCAGAGGCTAAGAGCTCAGGGCTGGAAGGCAGGAGGCCTGGGACTAATCCTGGATTTGCTTGTGCCCTAGGTACCCTGCATTGGGTTTCAGTTTCCTCATCTGGACAAAGTGATTTAAGTCCTGCAAGTGATTTAAGGTGGTTGCAAACCTGAGTCCATCCTCTGGGAGTGGTAATGTGGTGTGCATGCCAGAGGTGCTAAGAGGCCCCCCTCCCCCGGTCCCCTGGGTCTGGCTGCAGAGCAGTCAGCCTGCAGAAGGATGTAAAAGAACATTCCTAAGCGGGGATGAATTCATGTTATAAGGTTTGTAACGTGTGCAGCTCGTTACAAACTGGCATGTAGTAGGCAGTATGGTTCTACGTATAATCACTTTTCTTGAGGAGGCCACAGTAGAAAAGTTACAGACTTTAGTTTAGACCTCAGATCTGCCACTTATCACTTGCTGCATGCCTGACCTCATGTCAATCACTGTACTTTCCAAACCTAGGTTCAGCTTTAAAATGAGTGTAATGGTGCTTTCCTTGCCCAGAGGTTGGACAAATGAGTGTTCGTGTGTGTGAGTGCCTGGCACAGGGTTATCACAGTTGTTATAGTCACAGGCTTGGGGCCAGCAGACTTGAAGTGGATTCCTGGCTTCATCCTTTATCTGACATGTTGCTATTGCTAACCTCACTGGGAGGTTTCCTCACCCAGGAATAGAAATAATAACTGAATTACACCTCTAAGTTGTGAGAAGTGGGTGAGACAAGGCATGTTTCTGCACCTCTATGGGGAAGACGGTAATACTTTCTAAGGTTGTCGTGAAGATGAACCGAGGCTGTAGGTGAAGGCTTTGAAAAGTTTAATATTGGGCAAGGCAATTCCCTGGGGAGATGAGAACTTGGGGTCTTGGGACAGAAAGCAGGGAGGAGCAAGTTCAAAACAGATGTCAGTGGGATGGAAGGAGACGACCTCAGGAGCCAGAAGGTCAGACCCAAGCCCAGGGGGGCAGAACCAGGGAAAGTATAACCCCACCTGGGCTTCCAGGCTGGGGTTGAGACAAGAATTTGGGATCTGAAGCCTAGGTAAGCTTCCCACCCCTTCACCCCCTGCACCTCACCCTCCAGAATGTGAAACTCACCAGCAGTGCCAGCGCGATGGTCATGAGTACGGCACAGCCCGCCATGCCAGCCAGGCCTATGAGGTGCAGGGTCCGACGGCCGGCTCGCTCCACCACAAACAGCTGTGGACAAATAGAGCATCAAAGCCAACCCTGCTTGGTGCCCTTTGGAACCCACCCACCCAGAGGTTAGCCCCGTCAGCTGGGAAAGCTACATGGCACTGCAAAGACCAGTGGGGAAGACAGTACCACCTCCTCCCTGGGGCTTGGCTTGGGGGCCAAATTGGCGAGGAGGGGCAGAGAGCTGGATCCAGAGCCAGATAGCAGTATAGGAGTGAGAGGTGGCCCTGGCGAGGCAGCCAGCTGAGCATCCTGGCTGTGACCTTGGGTGAGCCATTTGCCATTTTACTTCTCTGAGCACCCGTGTCAGCTGTGTGAAGTGAGTAACAAGCCTCCCAAGTTGTTGAGGATGAAATAAGATAGCACTCATGCAGCATGTGACAAATGCCTGGCTCTGAGTGAATGCTGCAATTATGTCATGAGGCCCCAAGGCCCTGAGCTGGACCTTGGCTGTTGACTGACAGCAAGCAAAGACTCACCGAAATGACAGTGAAGGCCGTGTTGAAGATGCCGGAGCCAATGGTGGCATACACAGGCTGCTCTACCCCTGCCTTCTCGAAGATGCTCGTAGAGTAATAGAAGACCTGCCAGACAGAGAAATCGTTGAGGCTCAGCTGGGTGCTTTGTCCTTCCCCTGCCTCTGAACCAGTGTGTGTGGGACACAGAGTGAGTCATGAATAAGGGGGACAAATATGCCTCAGGCAGATGGACACTGTGCACCAGTAACCTTATGGGTTTTGGTTCTAAAGGGAAGCTACTCCTTTGGCAGAGGCTTATTTGTTGTTTTATGTTGGGATTTGTACACAGTACACACTTGACCACAGGCTTTGGCTGGGGCCACAGGAAAGGGTTGGGGACACTCACAGCATTAATGCCCGACAGCTGCTGGGACAGTTGCAGCACCACGGCAATGAGGAGGGGCTGGCGATAGGTGGTTGAACGGAACAGCTCCAGGATGGTGACCTTCTTCTCCCGCATCATCTGCCGACTCTCCTCCTTCATCTCCTGCAGGTCCTGGGTCACATCGGCTGTCCCACGCAGCTTCTTCAGCACTGGGGGGACCAGAAGGAAGGTGCGGGGGTCTCAAATTGGGCAGGAGGCCAGGGTTCAGGGAGTGGGGAGGAGGGCAGGGCCCTGCCCGTACCACTCTTGGCCCGGTTCTCCTCGTTGCGGTTGATGAGCAGGAAGCGGGGGCTCTCGGGGCAGAAGGGCAGCAGGATGCTCTGCAGCAGGGCTGGGATGAAGATGATGCTCAGCAGCAGGGGCCACAGCTCTGCATTGCCCATGATGGAGTCCAGGCCAAACACCTGGTGGGAGCAGGGTCTGTGAGCGCCCTGTCCCAGCCCCAACACCCACCCCCATCCTACCACGGTGGCCTTCCCTGCTTTGTGTCCACTGCTGCTGCTCTGGAGGCTCTGCCACTAGCATGAGGCTTGACCTCTCTGAACCTCAGTTTCCTCATCTGTAATGTGAGGTAAGTAGGATATACCTCCTAACACTACTACTACAGGACAAATGACAAGGCTACAAATGTATCCGGCACAGAGGATGAGGGCTGCTACTGTGCTGCAGGAGGACTTTGGGGACAGGGCAGGGGAAGCCTTCAGAGACAGGATATGGTGTGAGTAAAGGCATAAAGGCCTGGGGGCAGGAGTGAGCCCGGCATGTTGAGGGAACAGTGGGGCCCCTGTGGTTAGATGCCCAGAAGAAAGGAAGACACGGCTGAGCGGCTGGGATGAGAAGGGTCGGGTCATCTTGCTCTTCTGCTGGGGGAGCCCTCGGGAGGACTGTGAGTGGTGGCATGTTCTCTGGGACCTGAGTACCATGAGGCTGTCCTTTGTAGGGCTGTGGAAGGCTGAGTGGACATCTAATCAGAGAAGCTCCACCCTGCTGGACACCAACCCAAGAGCCATTGAAGCTGTGGGAGGGGGCAGGTTGGGGCACACAGACCCAGCCTCGGCTTACCTGGGCAATGAGAATGCCGATGACGATGCCCAACTGGTGCAGCGTGCCTAGGGCCCCACGAAGGGATGTGGGCGACACCTCCCCCACATACATGGGCACGAAGCCTGTGGTCAGGCCACAGTACACACCGATGATGAAGCGGCCCAAGATCAGCATCTCAAAGGACTTGCCCAGTTTCGAGAAGCCCATGAGTACAGCGGACACGAAGGCCAGCAGGTTTATCATCAGCATCGAATTCCGCCTGGGCAGGGGGAGGTGTCACAGGTCAGGTGGGTCCCTGGACCCCTTCAGACCCCCAGGAGCTAGATCATTCTTTGATAATACTCCAGAACAGGCAGGAAGTCTGCCCCACCTCCCACTCCCCTCTGGGACTCCCTGGGCAAGGCCAGCACCCCTCCCACTCACCGTCCAAAGCGATTAACAAAAAGACCCACAGAGAAGGAGCCAATCATGCCCCCGACGGAGAAGATGGCCACTGAGAGCGACCAGAGTGTGGTGAGTGTGGTGGGCACGATGTGCTCCCCATAGCGGTGGATCCATGTCTGGTTGTAGAACTCCTCGATTACCTGCAGGAGAAGGAACAGCCCAGGTAGGCAAGCCATGGCCAGGACCCAGTTTCCCTTTTCTCTTTGCACCCCTCTCTAGGGGCTAGTGAGCCATGGAGAGAGAGAGAGCCTAAGGCCACAAACTCGCTGCTTGTTCTTGAGCCAAGTCCTTCCCTTTTTGTGGGCCTCAGTTTCCCCAGGTGAGAAACAAGAAGTTGGGCTCCATCTCTGAGAGCCTCGCCAGCTCTCACACTTCCCCAAGGTGTGGATTCCAGTGCTCTGTAGTTTCACAGGCTCGCCATGATTTGCTGGGGACAGTGGCAAATGACCAATGGTGGAAGTCCAGGCACAGAGAAGAGAGATGTGCAGAGAGAAAACACTCCTTCCCACTTGCCCCTTTTCTCTTCTCCTCCCCATCCATGCCCTTAGGCCCCAGCTCCTGCAACCAGGGCCCTGTCCCCAAACCCCTGCTGGGGAGGAAGCGGGATGGACGGGTTCTGCTATTCTAGACCCTTCCCACTTGCCCCTTTTCTCTTCTCCTCCCCATCCATGCCCTTAGGCCCCAGCTCCTGCCACCAGGGCCCTGTCCCCAAACCCCTGCTGGGGAGGAAGCGGGATGGACGGGTTCTGCTATTCTAGACGCCCTGTGGGAAGTGCAGACGCGCTGACTCTGCACTGGGCCTGACATGACGAGCTCACACACCCTCCAGACATGCTCACAACACTCACACTGCCCCTTTCTATCCCCCAGGCCCAGCTCCCTTGCAGCTGGCCTGGCAATGTCACCTGGAAGGACCTATGGCCTCCTCCCCTCATCCAGGTGCCCAGCTGGGAGGTATGGGGAAAGGCTACAGACAAGGAAGCAGTTCCAGGAACTAGAGACACCTGTCCTCGTACAGGCCTGCCTACTAGCCCTGCCCCCAGCCTGGGGAGGACCTGGCCAGATCCCAGGTATGTGGCAGGCGGGCAGCACCGGTTCTGCCTGAGCACACTCACCGTACTCTCAGGCAACACAGACACACACCCAGTGCCATGGACTGGCCAGACCCACGCAGGCCCAAGTATCAACAAAGCTTCCTGTGCACACATACCATCACACACACACACACATTCGTGCTCATACAATCTGAATATTCCTGGCTTCCACCAGTCACGAACCTTCATGCCCCTCTTCCCTTCATCACTTGCAGCTCAAACTGAATTCCATGTAAGCTGGCCCATCCCGACACCCCACCCCCTGCTGCAAGTTCACGCAGGCAGCAGTATGCAGTCTCTTAGCCTCTGTCACCACTGCCCTTGGTCCTCCCTACCCCTCCCATGTCACAGGAGTCCGGCAAAAGAAGAGGCTGTCATCAGCTACACTTGTCAAAGGGGAAATGAAGGCCCACAGTCCCCGGAATGCCTACTGAGTATGCTGGGCCTGCCCCATGGTGCCTTCCTTCTAGTGGCCCTGGATCCTTGGCCTTAACCATCTTTATCCCTGCCCTGCTGCCACGACTTTTCCAAGTCTAGAGACATTGACAGAGGCCAGGCTCCAGGGGGTTGGGATAGGTTGACAGTGGAGAGGCAGCCCTAAGGATCTACTTGTCTGTTCCAGGGAAGTCAGACAGTACAGTATTTAGGAACCTGGGCTCTGAATCCGGACACACCCAAATTCAGATCCTAGTGGGCAAGTTATTTCATCTCTGAGTTTTAACTGCTGCATTTCTAAAATGGAGACTTTAGCAGTGCCTACTTCATAGTATTGCAAGGGAAGCAGTGAAACATACTTAAGAGAGCTTCTACAGTTCCTGGCACCATCACCCCTAAAATCATCCCACACACACTGGTACTGGTCCGAAGGCAGTGCAGACCACTGACAAAGTTGATCTAAGCCTTCTTCCCACAATTTGAAATCAAGGCTTCTGCCAGGTATCAATCCAACCTCCCTACCTACTCTCATCCTCCCTCCTATCCTGAATGCATTGGCCCCACCTTTGCTCTCCACACACCATTTCGCCACCCCTCCATGCCTTTGAGATGCTGTTACTCCTGCCTGGAGGGCTCACCTTGCCTTACCGCTGAAACCTTTTGAGATCCAGCTCAAAGGTTTCCCTGACTCCCAGGAGTCTGTCCTCCCTGAGGACAGGGACCTGAGCTGATTCACACTAGGGCCTGTCCCAGAGTCAGTGCCAGGGAGACCTGGTGAGTGAATGGTAGGGGAATCAGTGAATAAAGGGTCTTAGGCTCTCCTCCTAGAAACGCTCCATTTTGCTGGGGGCAGAGAGAAGGCAGATTTTAACAAAACACGAAGTGCTTGTGTTCTTCAAGGGACAAAACCAACCCCAGAGGAGGACTGGCTGAGAATGGTAATGCCCCATTTATCAGGTTCTGCAGAGAACAAGCTATTCTGGCTGGATAAGGGAACTGTCCAGATAAATGATGCTCACCCCTCTGAGGGCCCAAACTTTCCTGACCCATCACTGGGGTGGAAGTCTTTCTCCTTCTTGTCACTCTCACTTTGCTGGCCTGAGCAAGGAGACCTATGAGCAGGGCTCCAGGGCAATGATGTCCCTGTGGCTCTACAGGGGCAAGGAGAGTTGTTGTCCCTGTGCTGACTGGCCCCTGAGGGCATTCTTGGGGTCTTCCCCCACTCCTCTGTGGTTCAGAGGCTTGTCTCACACAACTCTCCATACCCTTTTTAAAATTTGCCAAGGAGTCAGCTAATGGAACTTGTTTGAGTCGTGTGCAAAGAAAGAGTAAATCAGTGCTGAGAAAGGGCTTAAACTACCTAAAGGAGCATGTTGTCCCCCTAAGGGACCCATGCTGAAGTTTCTGTTTGGCAGCTCAGGTCTTTAACTCCTTGAGATGTTGATAAGAGGACTCTGTGTAAATGAAATGTCATCAGAGCCCCCCTCTCCCCACCCCATGCCAGTTAAGTCTCCTGCCTATGGTCACACAGTCACAGGGACCAAACCTTGTCCATGATTGGCTCCTCCATGGCTCACTAGCCCCTCTACTGCTCAGCCCACTTCCTGGGGTTGAAGAAGGGTGAGCAGCCAGCCTCCTTCACTCTAACCTTGGCTCCAGACTCATCCTCTCAACCATCCAGCAGCACTTCCTGGCCAGGCTGAGACTGCAGGGGGTTTCTGCCTCTTAATCTGGTGCTTGACATTTCTGGGAAGAAACCATGCCTGGTTTTCCATTCCTGCTTCTGCTTTGGGAGCTCTCTGTCCTCTCCTCCCTGGGGGTCCATATGGGACTCCAAGCTAACCTTTGGCCCAGGAAAGACAGAGGGTCCCTGGAGAATCAGAAGAACACTATGTGGAGAAGAGTTCAGGGGTCACCTCTTCCACCCAGTGACTGCCCTCAGCATCCATCCTAGAAGTGTCTGGGTACTGCTAAGGGAAGAAAAGCCTACTGACTACTCCCCTAACAGGATCCCACAGATCCAGTCTCGACAAAGCCACTCGCAGCCTCCTCAGGCCTGGCTCGCATTTGAGGGGAGGCCTGGCACATGCCTGTTCTGAATGCCCCAGCTCACGGGCCTATCACAAGCCTGGGCATTACCCCAGATGCTGCCACTGTCCCTATATCCAACCATCACCAGGTCCTGTTGATTCTGCCTCCTGATGTGTCCAACTTCTCTACTGCAGCACCAGCCTGAGGTCTCACCTGGCTTCCGCTATTGACTTCCCATTCAAAGCCAGATCCTGCTTCCCACAATTAGTTCCTCCCCAGTCTGGCAGTCAGAGCCCTGAACATCAAACGCACCAGGCCCAGCGGTTCTTCTGCTTCTCAGCTCCCTGCCCCCCCAACTCACAACCTCTTCACCCTGCTGAGGGGTCCACGTGAGTGTACACAAGCTGGGGAGAAAGGGAAGGGTCCTGCTCAGTTCCAGGGGGGATTGTCATGGCATTGGCCTGTCTAGAGCTGAGGGGGCTATTAGAGATCTCTGTCTAAGCCAGAGGGCAGAGAGACCCCCTGAAGACACTGGGGACTCGTGTGGAGTAGCAGGTCAGCTCTGGGCAGTGAGATCCCCTAGACGGGACTGGATATTTTCCAGTACAAAACTATTCCTCACTTGGCAGCTGTTCTGGGGACAAGGGGGCAGCCTGTACATGCTTAAGTGCATCTTGGGAATTCCCACACTGCCCCCCCTACCCCCTTGGCCAGGCAACTATGGGTGAGGACCACACGTCTCCGTCTACAGAGGTAGTTCTGACTTCCTCTCTGCGTCAGGTAGTGTCTGTGTCAGGCTTGCCGCCTGGCACACAGAATAGCCATTACTGTCATCACTGTTGTTCTCTCAAGGAGAGGAGCCACCACCTTCAGAGCAGCATTAGGGACAGGGTTTTCCACTTTTAAACTGCTGGAAGACAAATCACTACCCTAAGGAATATATAGGGTAAGGAAGAACCTGAAGGAACCAGGGGCCTACCTCAGGGAGCAAAGCTCTGTCTTCAGACCCTGCCTAGATTCCCCTGGAAGAGGGACCCAGCAGGTCTACAGCCCCAGAGGGCAGAGGCCCCAGGGCCAGACTTCAGATCAGGGGACAGAAGAGCTTTCTAGGCTCTAGAGGATGAGATTGCCCACCTTACAAGGTGGTGAGTTCCCTGTCAGTGGGGAGCATGTGAGTGAATGTGATCTAGAGCAGGGACTGGCAAGATTTCAAGTAACAGGCCAGATAGAACAGATTAGGTAGGGTGTGTGGGCAACCTATGGCCCCTGTCACTTAGTTTTCTTGTTTTTTTCCCCCCAACACTTTAAAAATGTAAAAACCATTCTTAGCTCAGGCACCAGGAAAAAAACAGGCTGCCGGCTGGATGTGGCCCTTCTGCCAACTCTTGATCTTGGATTCTAGACTATTGCCAAGAGGCTCATCTGGGAGAAGGGGTACATGTTTTGGTCTCAGCATCCTTCCCTGTAGACATTCCTGCACCCCAGGAGGCCTGGGTCTTCTACATCATCCCCAGCACGCCAGGGCAGCGAGTTAAGACTCCCTCTCCATTCTCCCCCATCTCTACTAGATTTACTGTGGG